ACCGCAATTCCCAATGGGAGAACGACCCACAGAGCCGGGGTCAGGGGCCACCACCATCTTCAAGCCCTTACTCTCCATACTCGGCGCATCCACCGATCAAGCGAGAGCCATTCGTGTCTTGAGCAGCCGGGACATGCGACACTGCTCAACAACACCCCCCTCCTTCCTCCATCTGACACTCTGTTCCAGTCTGCTGCGCGCTTGCGACGTTCTTCCTGTCGACTGTAATCTTTCCCTCTTTCCCCTTTATTGCGCTCCACCTGCTTTTTCTCGATATCCGTAAGCCTCACCGTGTCCGTGAAACGAACCAGACACTCATGTTGGTGAGATGGAACACTTGCTTCAGCTTTTCTCTCTGAATCCTGAATACACACATGCACGCCCATCGCCAGTCGGCCTTCCGCAGCATCTCGCTGCCCCATATCGCTGCGGGCGCAATGCGATAAGCCCATCCCAGCCGGAGATCATCGGTGCGGAGTCACAGCGGGCTGTTCGTGGGTGCCCCCAGGCAACTGCGGCAAAGAGCCGGATGTTCGAAGGCAACCTCGCACGGCATGGTGTGGGGCATGCGCCCCCGTCCAGCCACGCCTTCACCGCAACCGGACCACCCGCGCCTTCACCGCAACCGGACCACCCGCGCCGCGCCCCCCCGTATCTGGTGGGAACTTCGCACCCACGGCAATATAAATCGGCAGCATCGGCGGCCTCAACCCCATCCCATCACCGACCGCCTGTGCTTCCACATCTCCCCGGTCTTGAGACGAAACACCGATCTCAGTTATCCGCCCGCTCGCCATCATGGACTCCCCCACTCCCGCCGCCGTCGCTGCTGCTCCGTCCACCGCGGCTCCGTCCAAACCCGCCATTGCCGTTCCTGGTCCCGGCGGTCGCATCTATCAGAACTATGACATCAATCTTGAGGGTGCAAGAGAGCAGATCTCGGACATTGGTCTCGCTGTTGTCCCCAACGTCCTCAGCCCGGATGAGTGTGTCTCGCTGCGGGACGACACCTGGAGGGAGCTCAAGCGCATCACTCGCAGCCAGTTCGACTATGAGAACCCTAGCACTTGGCCGCAGTATCGCAGCAAGCTCAAGCCCCTCAGAGACATGCTGATGCACTGCGGCGATATTGGCCACATGCAGTCGCTGTGGGACGCCCGCCAGCACCCCAGTGTCGTCCAGGCGTTCGCCCGTCTGTGGTCCACCACCATGGACGATCTCATTTGTTCGTTCGATGGACTGTCGGCGCATCTGCCGCTTCCCAATGACGACAAGAAGATCGCCGCCGGGGCCTCGGGCACCCGAAAGAAGGGCCTTCACGTCGACCAGGGCCGCACCAAGGATGGCCTCCAGTGCATCCAGGGCCTGATCCCTCTGTACGATGTCCACTATGGCGACTCGTCGCTGCACCTCATCGAGGGCTCGCATCTCCACTACGACGACTACTTCAGGCGCTATCCCTTCCGCAACGACAGCGACTTTGTGTTTGTTAACCACCCCGAGTTCCACCTGAACCGCGGCTGCCGCGAGACCTTTGTCCAGGCCACCGCCGGCTCATTGATATTGTGGGACTCCCGTCTCGTCCACGAGGCCGGCTCGGTCCTGCCCCAGGCGCTGCGGGCGATGCCCAACAACCCTCGCATGGTCTTGTACATCTGCATGATACCGCGCGAGAAGGCCACGGAGGCAGATCTCCGGGGCCGCATCAACGCCTTCAAGGAACTTCAGACAACGTCGCACTACCCCGTTCCGCTCCAGGTTTTTAGCCCCATCCGCGGCTACAAGAACTTGAATCCGGTGCGACGACCGTTCTTGACGCCACTGGGCAGACGGCTCGTTGGATTCGAGAAGTGAGTCGACATCGAACAGGCGCGGGGGCAGAAGGGAGCGATTCGTGGGGGAGACAGGAGGGGGGGGGGACAAATCTCGAAACATTTGCTGGGATAAGTAGGATGAAAGCTTGCAATGGTTTGTGTGTCATCGTGGCTTGGTATGCGGCACAAAGTGGGGTTGTTGAGTGAAAGTGAGAATACGATATTCATTTTGGAAACAAGCAATTGGCTGTTTCGGAGAGGGAGTGGGGTATCATTTTGATCCAGAGAGTGTTCGGCAATCGCATTCCGCAGAGGGGATGGAATTGGGTATGAGGAAGGGTGATATTGGTGATGTTGGTTAGGTTGGTGGTTGCTTGGATCGTCGTGGTGTTCGGGTGAGAGTAAGAGTGAGTATTGGGGGGGGGTGCCCACCAACTCTGCGCTGATTTCGCCCGATGGACCAGACGATGTCTCGCTCGACTCGGCCCTCGGTGTTGAGCTTGAAGGTATTGAGTAATGGTCGGTCCCGGCGATGGCAGGTCGCTTGCCCTCTGCTTTCCTTTTGCGCCGGTACTCTGCTGCTCGCTCGCCGTTGTTCTTGGCAGCGAAAACGGTGGCGATCGAGAGCAGGTCGTCGGAGAGCTCCCTGGCAAAGCCGGCCTTCCCCCGCTCGCCCTCGAGAACCACGAGTTTCGTGCCAGCTTTGCGAAAGACGAACTCCAGGAGTTCTCGTTCAAAGCGACACAGCCGGCCGTGGTAGGTAACCACAACCTCCGAGACAGATCCTGCGTAGACGAGTTCCACAAAGATGTTGAAACCCTGCGCCCCCAGTTGAGGTCGGAATGGACGCACTTTTGAACGGATGCTGGCCAGGGCGAGGAGGATACTCTGCCCCGATTCAAGGTGGGCTCGTCCTCGTCGTTTCGTTTTATCAGCAAAGCCGGTGGAAATAAGACGGTGTCCAGAGTGGGCATGGGCCATATGGTGTCAGCCAGGCACACGGCCATTGACGAGAATGCGGGACTCGATTCCATGTTCGATTCATGCGGCAGTGCACGTGGCAGTGCAAAGAACAACGAGTCCAGCCAGCAAGCCATCGGATCGAGCCAGGCTTGTATGTGTGTGTGTGCCTTCGATGGCCAGTGCTTGGCTTGCCAGTGTTTGGCTTGCTTCGCCACTTCCCCCTCTGTCTCCTGTCCATCGCCATCACCCACTTGCCTCCATCCTGTCTCCGTCAACATGGCCAGCATGAACGAGCCTGCTTCAGCCACAGCATCATCTGCCACTCACCAAAGCCAAACTGAAGCCAGAACAACCTCGTCGATCCCCGATAACACCCAGCACTCACTCGAGCACAACCCAGACATCTTCACCATCATCTGCTGCAACGACAGCTTCCAGCTCGCACTCGACCACAGCACCATCAAGGCCCTGCTTCGAGTGTGCAAACGAGTCCGTCCTCTCCTGAGCTCCAAGGTGCCTTGTTTCCACACCTGGTGCCAGAAGTCAAGACTGTGTCATCCAGATGGACAGCTAAAGTTCGGCCTCACACCAAGCGACCAGATCGCCATCTCGCTGCACTCCGACGATCCAGGCACAGCCGACCGATCCTGGCTTGAAGATCTAGCCGATCAGGGCAACGCCGCAGCCTCGTACTTCCTGGCACGGATCCTCCAAGCTGAACAAGCTTGCAAGCCAAAAATTAGCTGGCCCAACAGAGAAAGATTCAATTCGAAATCTTCCGGCCTCTGGAGAGCGCAGCTCACGCCGGCCATCAAATAGCCCTGTTCCACTTGGCTGAATGCTATCGCAACGGAGTTGGAGTCGATCGAAACTATACCAAAGCTTCCCAGTTGTATCGTAGTCTTGCAGAACGCGGAATACCTCAGGCTCAAGTCGCCCTCGGAAGTTGCTACGAGAGCGGCGAAGGTGTCGAACAAGACTACGACTCAGCTATCGAGTGGTACTCAACGGCTGCTGACCAAGGATATGACAACATTCGCCTCCACATTGCATTCCTTCGTGGCTGTCTCGTTCATCGGCCATGGTGTCGAACAGAACGATGTCGATGCCCTTGACCACTGGCAGGAAGTCAGCACCCAGTCCACCGATCCGATCATCAAACCCATTGCCACGCATATGGTCGGATGGATGCACTACCTCGGCCGGGGTACCCAGCTCGACAAGCAGGAAGGCATCAAGATCATACGAGAGAACGAATCGGACGAGTTCAAGCTCGGGGAAGCGGAGTGCTGGACTGGTGGCTGGACTCCCTCCGAGTCACCTGTCGCCCACAAGTTCTTCGAATTGTGCCAGCTGGGATTGGAACATGACTGGCTCTGCAGTCATCTTATGGCTGTATGTCTGCTCCATGGATTCGGCACCACTCGGGATCGGATAGAGGCAGTTAGCATCATTGAGCAGCTCGCCAACAAAGGTCACAGCGACAGCCAGTACTGTATCGGTAGATGTTACTGGGAAGGCGCGGGGGTGTCGAGGGACTTCAAGAAGGCCTTCGAGTGGTACAGCAAGTCGGCCAACCGAGGCAATTCGTATGGGCAGTGGGAGATAGGCAAGTGCTACTACTGGGGACACGGAGTCACCAAGAACCACAAAAAGGCAGTTGAGTGGTATCGCAAGTCTGCCAAGCATGGCAATCGATACGGACAATACTACCTCGGCATCCGATACCTTTACGGCGAAGGTGTCCCCAGGAACATCGACACCGCCGTTTTCTGGTTCCGCAAGTCTGCCGATCAGGGCCTCGATTGGGCCATAAACAGACTCAGCGAACTCGACATGTGGCCCTGATCATCGATCATTCCCAACTGCCATATCATCATCACCGAGCCGTAGTCCGAGCAACCGCGCGGCAAACACCCATTCCAGACACTGTGATACCAAAGAGTGGATCAGAAAAGTGGTTACAATCAATCGATATTTGCCGAGTGGTGTTGTATTTGGCATCCAAGAAACCCAATAGATCTCATATTCAAATAATGCTGTCCCATATCCATCGCTCATATCGATCGACAGCAACATCCGATGACTCGACAACGCCATTATCAACATTCACTCATCGATTCTCGTCCTGCAGCCGCAGATGATGAGCACGACCAAGACCATCCTCCCTCGATCCGACACCAGGCAGTGTGCCCTAATCAGCATTCATCTTCAATCGACTCCCTCAAGGGGCTCGGCAATTGCATTCACCTGGCCAGTTGTCATATCGGTGCCTCAAAATAAGGAAATGATGGCATTTCATGCAAAGACAAGCTGTGGTTGACGCCTTCTGCGTGGTTAGAGTTGACGGAGCTGGGAGTGCTCGCGAATTCTGTTCTTGATGATCTCGATGTTGGACATCACCGTTTTGACGTGAATATGCTCGGTGTTCTTAATAGTCTTGTTCCAAATCGCCAATGCTTCTTGGAAGAAAACAAGCGCCTCTTCTAGGTGCTCGTGCTTAAATGCAACATTCCCCATGTTTCCAAGTGTCGTAGCAACGACGGGATGCTCGCGGGTACCATAAACCTTGACCTTAATATTAAGTGATTCTTGGTAATAGGCCAGAGCCTCGTCCAGGCGTCCTTGGTCGCTGGCTACCATACCCATATTGTTGAGTGTCTGAGCAATATCGGGGTGTTCGAGAGTGCCGTAGATTTTGATCTTGATATCAAGAGATTCTTGGAAGAAAGCGAATGCATCGTCCAGGCGCCCTTGGTCAACGGCCACCAAGCCCATATTGTTGAGGACCTGGGCGGCATCGGGGTGCTCGCGGGAACCATAGATCTTGGTGGTGATATCCAAACCTTCTTGGAAGAACGTGAGGGCTTCGTCCAAGTAACCCTTGTCACAAGCCAAATTGCCCATATTGTTGAGGATCGAGGCAACATCGGGATGCTCGCGTGTACCATAGACCTTGACCTTAATATCAAGAGATTCTTGGTAGAAGGTCAGTGCCTCGTCCAGGCGCCCTTGGTCGCTGGCTACCAAGCCCAGATTGTTAAGCGTCTGAGCAACACCGGGATGCTCGCGAGTGCCGTAGACCTTGACCTTCATGTCGAGGGATTCTTGGTAGAAAGCAAGTGCATCATCTAGACGTCCTTGTGATCTTGACACTGCACCCATGTTATTCAACGCCTTGGCCACTTCGAGGTGCTCGCGGGTGCCATAGAAGGCCACAATCCGCTCTAATACCCTCTTGTACGTCTCCATTGCCTTGGTGTAAAAAGGCTTCTCGTGGGCCAATAGAGCAACATGGGAATCGATCAGGTAATGCAGTTCTTTGGTGTACACTTGCGGCACTGCTTTTTGGGCGTACTGATCGAGGTGCTCGCTCAATAACTGTGCCTTCGAGTCCGTTATATCGATAAGTTCGAGGAGGACTTCACCCGTACCATCCTCGATCATTTCGACATCCAACACCTCGTGTGCTTGGACATATTCTCGAGCAACTTGCTGGGTGAGTGAGTGTGTCGAGTACTGTCCCTCGGTTCCGCTTCGAAGAAGACCGCTCTGGACCATCATCTTGATCAAATCGGCGACTGTGGAGTGATTGAAGGTTAGTTCCATACATTGACACCATCAACTGCTCTTCGAGACCTACGTGCAACTCACCATCAATATCGCCTTCAATCATGCTTGCTATCGCGTTTTCCAGTGTACGAAGCCTTTCACTCTCATCATGTATATCCGCCAATATATCTTGGATGTTGGCATCTTCAGCATCTTCTTCAAGGATAAACGTGGCCGTGGTTCTTGCCCTTAGCTTCACGGCGATCGCTTTGATCAACTCAAACTGGATGTTGGTCGGCGCAACCAAACTGAGGGCACCGAACAGCCTGGCTGCCTCGATGCCCTCATCTCCTCGCTTCATCAGCGAGTCCAGCGACAGATCCACAATCACCTTGAGCGACGACCGCGTGTCGTCCTCGCCATCCTGCAGCTCCAATGCTCCTGCAAACGTGGCCTCGAGCACCAACAGGGGAGTGTCGTAGTTCTCGGCAAACGTCATGAATGTCTGGATGACGAGTGGATATCCACTGATCTTGGCCACGATGTTGTCGAGGGACTTCTTGGCCTCGTCTGACACAAGTCGCTGGACAATCATTGGCGACGACGACATGATATAGTCGAGTGTGGTTTTGTCGTCCCAGTTGCCGAGACGGAGCAGATCGTGCTGGAAGCTCGGTGCCTTGGTCTCGAGAGCACTGACGAATGCACCAGGAGGCAGCGAGGCCAGCCGGGTCGTCACCACCACATCGCCGCTGAACCCGACCGACTTGGAGTGCTCAAACACAGAGTCGACCACACCGATGTCGTCGACATTGTCGAGCACCAGGAGATAGCCGTGGGTGTTGGCGAGGAACCTCGAGGCATACTCCTTGATCTCGTCAGGTTCAACTGCACCATCAAACATTTCGCACAACCCATCGATGGCGGTCGACTCAGTCGAGCAGTTGAGCCAGAAGACCTGGCGGTACTGCGGCTTGATGCCGATGGTCTCGGCTTTGATGGCGAGGAGGTCGTCCTTGTTGCTCGCATTCAGAATGCCCATCATGAAGAACAGGATCTGGATGGCGAGGACAGACTTGCCCATGCCACCCATGCCGGAGATGACAGCGCGGCCAGTCAGGGTGAGTTGCTTGAGCAGAGTGTCGAGGTGGGCGGGATCGAATCGGAACTTGGAGTCGCAAAAGTATTTGCGATGGATGACCGTAATGAGATCCATGTTGGGTGGGATGGGATGGACGAGGTTGAGGAGGCGGTAGACTCGCTTGTGCATCTGGTCGGGACGGAAGCCAAAGGACTGGATCTGGTTCACTCTGCCGAGGATCTGCTTGAGGGGGGCAAGGGCAGGGTCGTCGGGGAGGGACACCATATAGGGCAGGAAGGGAGTGAAGACATCGATGCCATCTTTGGTCTCCTTGGTGGCGATACCGAGGGGAAGGACAGGGAGAGAGCGTTTGGCATCCTTGAGGTCGAGGGCGGTCCTGATTTCAAGGACTACATTGTCCTCTTGGCTGGAGAGGGCCTTGTCCTTCATCATGTCCATCGAGGCTTTGCTGAGGAGGAGGAAGACGGCCTTGCTGGTGGGGAGGGCACTGATAGAACCGGCTTGAGGGTCGCTGGGATTGTTGAGGCAGTCGACATCGTGGAAGACGGAGAGGGGTTTGCCATATCGACGGAGGGCGACCGAGGTGAGCACCTCCTTCAAAGCCTGGACAGTGTCGGCATCGGTCTGGGCTTGGTATGAAAGGAACAGGTCGTGGTCGGTGCCGTGGGCAGGGCAGGAATAGAGCTGGTTGCTGGTTGTGGTCAGCATGGCTGGCGATTGTCGAGCAGGAAACGATGAGGAGCTCGGCAGGCAAACCGAGGGGAACTGCCTGCTTTTGTGTTGGCCAAGGGTCGCCTCACCTCTCCAGCCCCTCCGTATACCCCAACCCGCCAATGTCCCAGGGTATTGTATGGACTCACACCAGCCTGGCAAACGGCTCTGTATTCAGACACGGACCCTGGACTGTCATCCCCGGCAATCAAAGGCTGGTACAAGCTGTCATCTCATACGCCAGGATGCTTCAGGACGGTGAGGGACACCACCCAGGTCTTTTTGGAAGTGGCGGAACTGACCCTGCGGCCGTTCTGGTAGTGTGTCTCAATAATCTCGTTGGTCGAGTGCTGATCCCACAGGAGACCCTTGGGGATATCAACTTGATTGAATTGCTGCAGCAGTCCAGGCAGCTGGCTGTCAATCCTCCCAAGACTTCGAGAGAAAAACAACTGCCGGATGCTGCCCGCGATCATTGCCACTATGATGCCTGGAAACATGATCATGAACGGAGGCGGCAGGCCAAATCCAAAGTTGGCGCCTGCAGCAATGATCCAGATGATGCCGCCGAGGAAGGATCCAAAGCCGAGGCACATGATGGCAAAGAGGAAGACGTTGTTCTTGGCAGTAAGGTTTTGCGTCAAGACGTCGAGGCGATTCTGCAGCTCGTGCTGGGAGAGGCGCTGGCCGATAACCGCGGAGAGCATGTTGAGGGGCAGACAGGGGCTCTGGATCTGCCAGGTGGGTTGGTTCGTGTTGTAGGAGAAGAGAATGGCTGGCTCGGACATGGTTCTGGTGCTGGTGGAGACGAGCCGATGGACTTGGGGAAGCAGGCGGAGACGGGCAGAGACCGGCCAAAGAGGGCTGCCCCCTGGGTGGTTGGGAAGAGGGCGAAATCGACGGCAAGAACAGGGGTGGCGATGGGGTCAATATCCCAGAAGCTGGCTGGCATTCGTGGGACAGAATTGCATGGCGTCGTTTGTGGTGCAAGCAACGCACTGCCACGCCGCGCACCATTGGGGAGTTGTGCGGCTCACCAAGAGCATCACAAGCCGCCGCATCCGCCGAATCGCGAAGGACACACGTCCCGCTGTATTGGCTGCGCGGCTGTTGAACACGCAACTGGCACAGCAATCGGGCGTGTGACTGGCCAGCTCATGAGTGACAGAGGCGACATCGATTGTGCTTGGGAGCGATTCGCCCAGCTGGTGTTGAGTTACGAGAGTATTCTCCCAGATCAGAGGCGTGGTGCTGCCTCGGTCGGATGTTGATAGTGGACAAGCTTGTTTTTTATTTTGTATTTCAGACAAACCTTTCAAGGGCTGGTTGGTCCTAGCAGTACATGATGAAGGGAAGGGAGGCAGTGATCAACCAAACGGGCAGCTTGGGGGAGATGAGAGCCGTCATCCCTGGCCTCTCGCTCTGCTTCATCTGGGTGTCCAGGAAAGGCACCAAGGGTCCATCTTACCATCATGTTGTGATAGTATCGATCTCTTGGGCCCTCGCTCGGCCCACAGTCCCGACATGGTCGTCATCCTGATGCGGGCCAAAGTCAGTTCCTTTGACCTGTCGAAGCCTTGCGCGTCATCGATGTGAATCTGCAGCTTGACTGGTAGTCCTGTGAGCTGGTAGTAGCCGTTCCTGAACAGCTCCTTCATCGGGTAGTCCGGCTGGCGCTGTTCTTTCAGCACGATCAGCTGCTGGGGCGGTTGGGCAGGGTGATGAGGCCGCATCCGAGGTGCATCGCTCCGTAGGATGTGTTCCGCACCACTCTGAAGAGTCGGGTCAGACAGTGCATCTGTGCTCGTTTGAGTATCACGGCTTGCTGCTTCGTGAGCACTTCGAGGGTCAGTCCATACTCGAGCATGGGTCGAACGAAGGTCTTGAACGCCTTCGCCACCGTCTTGGCCGAGTATCGACCCAGACTCATTCCATGCTTTACCGGCTTGTCGGCGGCACCTCTAGCCTTGTGGGTGAGGTTCTGGATCTGATGTCCAGTCGGTAAAGTGGATATCGACGATTGCGGGTGTAATTGGATAATTACGCTCTCAGAACTCCTGAATAGTGGAGATCGACGGAAACAACCACAATGGACGTCTCGGTATAGGAGAGGCTGATCGACTTGCTGCCTGCATTCAACAGTGCCATGTTGCGATGGCGATCTGGGTGGCACTGAGTATCTCCACATCAATGGCTGCAGAGCCAGGATCGATGCCGAGTGTCGAGTGTAGAGTGTAGTTTGCCGAATCATCGGATGCTTCTGTTGGTCGATCAACATCAGCGATTCATATGGAACAGCACTGTTTTGCTTTGTGGAAGTCATGGATGTATTTACTGTCGAATATACTGTGGGACTCTGGTGGCTGGGACGGATGAAGGCAGTGCAGTTTGCTTGGGCGCATATCAACTCATAATTGTGACTTGGATCACTGGGAGTAGAACTTGGAGGATTCGGAGATCAGGGCCACTTGCCGAGTTCGCTGAGTCTGTTTATGGCCCAATCGAGACCCTGATCGGCAGACTTGCGGAACCAGAAGACGGCGGTGTCGATGTTCCTGGGGACACCTTCGCCGTAAAGGTATCGGATGCCGAGGTAGTATTGTCCGTATCGATTGCCATGCTTGGCAGACTTGCGATACCACTCAACTGCCTTTTTGTGGTTCTTGGTGACTCCGTGTCCCCAGTAGTAGCACTTGCCTATCTCCCACTGCCCATACGAATTGCCTCGGTTGGCCGACTTGCTGTACCACTCGAAGGCCTTCTTGAAGTCCCTCGACACCCCCGCGCCTTCCCAGTAACATCTACCGATACAGTACTGGCTGTCGCTGTGACCTTTGTTGGCGAGCTGCTCAATGATGCTAACTGCCTCTATCCGATCCCGAGTGGTGCCGAATCCATGGAGCAGACATACAGCCATAAGATGACTGCAGAGCCAGTCATGTTCCAATCCCAGCTGGCACAATTCGAAGAACTTGTGGGCGACAGGTGACTCGGAGGGAGTCCAGCCACCAGTCCAGCACTCCGCTTCCCCGAGCTTGAACTCGTCCGATTCGTTCTCTCGTATGATCTTGATGCCTTCCTGCTTGTCGAGCTGGGTACCCCGGCCGAGGTAGTGCATCCATCCGACCATATGCGTGGCAATGGGTTTGATGATCGGATCGGTGGACTGGGTGCTGACTTCCTGCCAGTGGTCAAGGGCATCGACATCGTTCTGTTCGACACCATGGCCGATGAACGAGACAGCCACGAAGGAATGCAATGTGGAGGCGAATGTTGTCATATCCTTGGTCAGCAGCCGTTGAGTACCACTCGATAGCTGAGTCGTAGTCTTGTTCGACACCTTCGCCGCTCTCGTAGCAACTTCCGAGGGCGACTTGAGCCTGAGGTATTCCGCGTTCTGCAAGACTACGATACAACTGGGAAGCTTTGGTATAGTTTCGATCGACTCCAACTCCGTTGCGATAGCATTCAGCCAAGTGGAACAGGGCTATTTGATGGCCGGCGTGAGCTGCGCTCTCCAGAGGCCGGAAGATTTCGAATTGAATCTTTCTCTGTTGGGCCAGCTAATTTTTGGCTTGCAAGCTTGTTCAGCTTGGAGGATCCGTGCCAGGAAGTACGAGGCTGCGGCGTTGCCCTGATCGGCTAGATCTTCAAGCCAGGATCGGTCGGCTGTGCCTGGATCGTCGGAGTGCAGCGAGATGGCGATCTGGTCGCTTGGTGTGAGGCCGAACTTTAGCTGTCCATCTGGATGACACAGTCTTGACTTCTGGCACCAGGTGTGGAAACAAGGCACCTTGGAGCTCAGGAGAGGACGGACTCGTTTGCACACTCGAAGCAGGGCCTTGATGGTGCTGTGGTCGAGTGCGAGCTGGAAGCTGTCGTTGCAGCAGATGATGGTGAAGATGTCTGGGTTGTGCTCGAGTGAGTGCTGGGTGTTATCGGGGATCGACGAGGTTGTTCTGGCTTCAGTTTGGCTTTGGTGAGTGGCAGATGATGCTGTGGCTGAAGCAGGCTCGTTCATGCTGGCCATGTTGACGGAGACAGGATGGAGGCAAGTGGGTGATGGCGATGGACAGGAGACAGAGGGGGAAGTGGCGAAGCAAGCCAAACACTGGCAAGCCAAGCACTGGCCATCGAAGGCACACACACACATACAAGCCTGGCTCGATCCGATGGCTTGCTGGCTGGACTCGTTGTTCTTTGCACTGCCACGTGCACTGCCGCATGAATCGAACATGGAATCGAGTCCCGCATTCTCGTCAATGGCCGTGTGCCTGGCTGACACCATATGGCCCATGCCCACTCTGGCCTAGCCCTGCATCTTAGTGCCCATGATGTCGTCGATCGGCTCGGTGATAATGATTTCTCGCACTTCTGAACAACGAACCACCATCTCCATCGATGCCACCTGTTCATTTCCCCCCCCCCATACTCTAATCCACCTCAGCCCTACCCACGCAACTCATGGATCGCTTTCAGCCGATACCCCGACCGGTAAGCAGCATTCTCGGTGCTCGTGCCTTTCAGCTGCGTTGGTATAGTGTGAATCGAGGAAGGGCGTCCATGTGC